CCTAAACATTCCTCTGAGGTTTATCTGGTGTGATCATATCCCATTCTCAGCAAAACCATCTGAGCTTTACCAAACAGTGGATGCGGGATGTTCGTGGAGAAGCAAAAGTTTGTCTTTACAACAAATGTTCCCACTGATCCCAGAGCTGAATGATTTTGTCAGTGGAGAGATGGACCAGAGGAGAAGAGAGGAGATACACAACTGCATGTTTGACACATGACATTGGAGAGCATACCTGGGAGGCTGGGGATGTTTAGAGTTTAATTTATGTCCTTTTCATTTTGCCTGATGCATTAAATCTGCACCTCTTTGCAAATTCAGTGGGCAGGCAACAAGCAGAGCTGCTGGCCTGGTGAGCTGAACACACAGAAACCTCAGGGACTGCTCCCAGCTTTACCACCCAACCATCTTCTTAGTCTGCTCTGAACCTCTTCCACTAGGTTCAATGCTCTTCCACCAGATTCAGTGCTCTTGCACCAGATTCAATGCTCTTCCACCAGAGCAATCTCCTCCACCAGATTCCCAAGGCTATGAGGATCAAAATCTCAATCCATTATTTTATGGTGTCTTTTACACTGTTGCATAGTGAGTTCAGTATGGGTGAAAACTGCTATGTTTGCTCGTTTTAAACTAATTTTCACATATGTAAATGAGGACACATGGGAGAAACCTGGATGGTGGAAAATTGAGCCTCAGCGCTGCATGTCATAAAGCAGATTTAGTAATAATAATAAAAGAAGAATTGATCCACTTGTGTTGCAAGATTCGGTGGTTTATGTATGTGCAGAGATTTAAGGATATAAATGTTGAACATTGTTGTTATTTAACAATGAATTCCAACAGGTTTAATAAAACATTTGCTTGTCAGTTTATGACAAAATTGCTTTTAATAACGTGCAGTGAAAAGCCTTGCATTTCAGGGATATATAATATTTCAGTGTTGTTACATTTGGAAAACTCAACACAAACGTGTCTTAAAAATCACTACATCTCCAACCTGGCCTATGTTCTCAGTGAGGACAAATGTCTCTGTCAAGACTGAAGAAATCATGAGGAAAGAAATCATGGGAAAGACACAAAGAGAGGAATCTCTGAACAAGCTGCATAAGATGAACTGGCTGGGCACATTACTTTGCCTTTGCTTTCTGTGAGCACAGGTGTATAAGGAAATATGTTCACTTTTAGCTACATTCAATATGTAATAAAAAAGAATTTGTTTTTGAGTTACCTGAATGAAAAATGCATCTTTCACTGTTAAAGGACAAACGTATTTTCCTACTGTAGTGTAACTCAAATACAATTCATCTACCTGCCTGCCCCCCAGTATTTCACCCCTGTGCTCCGTCAAAGCAATGAGAAAATGGAGCCCTATAGGAATGTTTTTTAAAAAGTTATGAAGGATAGAAATAGAGGTCTACAGAGGATTAGCTTTATGGTTAAGGCATTGGTGTGAGAGTTGGGAAATTTGTCTTCAGTTCTGAGCTCTGCCACCTCAGGCAAGTGAATTAAGCTGTCTTTGCCTCAGTTCCCCATCCTTAGGATCCCTCTTTGCTCACCCTTTGGATATCTTCTTTATTTAGGCTAAGGCCAGGTTATTTCTTTCTACTATACATTTGTATACTCAGGAGTTACGGCTGTCTTCTGGGTGCTACTTTAATATACCTGGGTGCTACCTTAATATAGCTAGAATTTTTAATAATTGTGATAATAACAATAAAGGAGGAAACCTACTGCATTCATGCAGGGCTGCCATTCGTGCTGTTGTTTCCTTGTCAGAGGAACTCCCCACCTGAAGGTAACTGGGAATTCATGATAGCCTCCAGTTTTGTTGACATGTCAGGGAAGTTTACTGCAAGCTTCTGAAATGCAGGGCTTAAAACTTTTTAAACCAGGTCCGCGCAATTTTTGCAGACTTGCACTTTTGCAGGCATTGTAAGCCTTGCAGCATTTTACAGACTAGAGTGAAATCAGATGTGCTCTGTAATGAGCTCCACACCTGCTTAAAAGGGCTAAGAATCAGGCAGATCTTTCTGACAGTTTTTCTGGGAAGAACTCCGAGAATGACTAGCATGGCTTTTGGGACACATTTTTCCTCTGACTCCCAAAGAGTATTAAGGAAGATGACCAAGGAGAAAGGCTTTATTCTATGTGCAGAATTCCCCCCAACTTTAATAAGGGCTACGGGTTCTACCTCAATAGTTCAATCCTGCAGAATAATTTGACATTACAATGGAAATAACACTTTTGGAAAAAAATCACCAAAGCTTGTTTTGACAAGCTCTCTGTAGTTTTGGGACAAAAAAGTAACTTCTTAAAGTTTCTGTGCCTTATTGTCCTTTATAGAAATCAAATCAATAAAAATATGAGTAATTTATTGGATAAAAAAATATTCAAATACTCTTTAATAAAGCACAAGTCTACTCCTGAAATGAATGGAGAGGATTCCCTTGACTTTAGTGATATTAAACTTAATTATAAGAGAATTTGTCAAGTGTCTAAATGGTGAATATAGCCATTTTACTGTTAAAAATGAAGTTGTAGGAAAAACATCCTATATGAGACCCAACTTTGTTTACTGCAGAAGCTGGATGTTCACTTCTGAATTAACATATAAAAGCTGGGCCATCTTTTAAAGTATTTCCACTAGAACCCCTTTGTCAAAGCAGCCACAAGGTATCTGCTCGTGTTCTTCATGGTCATCCTCATCCCACCTGTGATCTTTCTATTAGCATAGGTATTTCTAAAACCATTTTGAACTGGCCCTTCATGCTGCTCCTCATCCTCTACTTGATGACTTTTCAAGTATACTTATCCTTTTTCCCATTACTTTCCTTGGGGTAATGGAAGCTCCACAGAAATATACCCCAAATTATCACTTCACCTGCTTTCAAACTCCTCTTCAAAATAGTCTGTTCTTGTGATGTCCTCAAAAAAGTGGATGGTGGTTTGGCTCTGTGTTCACTACCTCCATTCCCGTTCGTATTAACTGACTTTTGCCTTGTCGTTTCCCTGCATCCTTCCATTAGAATAGACCCATCCGCTGTCGCCAGTTTTATATTCTGATTATAATCTCTTTAACACAGGAACTATTGCTTTCTCACTCTTTTAAATTATCCAGTACAATTTTGTTCTTGTCCATGACTAAGATTCAAGTATCATGGAAAGAAAATATAGTTATTAAGATAGTTTAAATTCAAAAATAAAATAATGGTAAAGTAGGTATCTATTTTGAGTGTGCTTCAACTTTGGCTTAGGGTCAAACAGGTTATTATTACATGTGAACTTACTGTAAGGATATTGAAAAAGTCTCTAAAACCCCTTTATTTAGTAGACTTGTAGTCTGATAGAAATTTCCAGGTAATAAGGGTGGCCTTGCAAGTCTTGGGCTGAGTCACCAGCATTCCTAAAATAGTTGGCATTACCTCTGTCTTTTCTCTCAAGGATTTCTCTAATTCTATTCTTTAAGCGGTTTTCAGAGAGCTTTTATTCTAGTTTTTTTCCACAAGCTGTTTTGCCTAAATGTAAATACCTAATGCCATATGAGATGCCCAGTATATCAGTGCTCATCTCCAGCTGATGGTCTGGAAGAGTGAAGGTCTCCCATAGGTCTTAGTCTTAACTAACCTGAAATACCTCATGTCGCATGAGGTGTCTCAGCAATTGAGCCTTGTTCTCAGTGGCCCAGTGGCTCTGTTAATAACTTGTGGTTGCAGTCATGCTCACATAGTCATACAAAATATCAGTCTTTGTGTTCTTCTGGCAGAGTGCACTTCATGCTACAAGGTGAAGTGATAAAAATTTTCCTTTCTTAATTATCACTGTTCAAGAAGCGCTTGGACAATGCCCTTAGATATATGGTTTTAGGTTGCTCTCAAGGAGTCAGGAGTTGGCTCAATGATCCATATGGGTCCCTTCCAACTCAGGATATTCCATGATTCTATGATTATGTATTACTAGCTGAGATATCTGCTCCCACCATTTCTATTCCCTAAGGAGAAAACCTAGTGGCCAGGCAGGTCGCACCTGGTTACACCCTCTGCTGATGATGTACACTGGAGTTTCTACAAATGATTTACATCTTCTATATTCCCCTGTGACTTCAATTTTCCCCCACATTATATCCTCCTAATGATGCTGTGTGAGAAGCTTCATTCTGAGCAGCTGTGATGGGGCCCTCAGATGGCTGTCGTAAGCCAGTTGTTTCCAGCCACTTGGGGGAATTGCCATCAGAGTTCTTAAGAAATTTTGCTCACTTTCATAAGAGAATTGGGCCTCCCATCTCTAAAACAGGTGTGTGCTTTTTCCTCATATCTTCAAAAACAGGTGTTTTATTTTCTTTGAAATACTTAGTCAAGGGACATTGTTTCCTACACACAAGAACTTCAGTACTTTTCTACTCCTGTCTTTTCTGCATTAGCCTGGCAGCATCTGCTTCTGCAGGCAGACCTTGGTATACAGTGAGCTGTGTCCCCACCAGCCTGCCTCATTTCTTAGAGAGTGGTGTCCATGATCAGAGTAGAAACCAGGACGGGTGTAGTATTTTTATTAACTTAACTGGAGGGATTATTTCCATAATTTTTGGAATTCAGCAAATGGTGGGGGTGAAATAGAACCCAAATTTATTGAAAAGTTGGTTTCCTGCTCATTTTTCATGTTACTCCTAATAATGTCTGGTATTCCTATAACATCTATGATTGATTGGGCTACTAACTATTTTATGAACACTAAACCTTTCAGGAACCAGATGGGATTATGTACTGTTTTATTTATAGGAAACTTGTGGTAAAAATATAAGCAACTCAACCAAGTCCTTATGGGAAATAAGTGACAGAACAAAGACAATTGTTGAAATCCACTTTTAGCATTTCTGGATTAAGGTCTTTTTTTCCTTTCCTTAATAGCTATTTCTTGGTTCTTGGTCACCAGTACTTCAGGATTTGGTCCTCATAGGTGGAGTCTGAAAGAGTATTTAAAATTTAATCTCAACCTAATTTGCTCAGTTTCAATTTCAAATGTATTTGATTCATGATTCTTACTGGATGAATAGACAATTAGACATACTGTAATTAAGGAAAAGGAGGAGAGGAGTACAGACTCTGTATGTAGCCTGAATACCCGATTCCTTTAAAAAAAAGAAAGTTTTTTTGGGGCAGGGGGGGCTTGGGATGTTATGCTCCTTAGCATGGAGTGTGTGATCTAAGCAACTGTCTCATGGTGTCCCTCTGAGAGAACTAGCAAAGTTCAACTATTTATGGTCTGAAATAAGCCACACCTTTACTGTCATTTACAGTAAATGGACTTTCATAAGCACAGGGATATGAAGGAAGATCCATTTTGAAATGCTTTTACTTATTATTTTCAGCATAATAAATAACCTTTTAGAGATATACGTGCATTTCATTTGCGTTCTTAACACAGATGAATCTCAGGGCTAAACTCTGTTCTTGTCTTTACTTGCTTTTCCTGTGATTTTTACAATAATGGATGTGAGCTACTAAAGCAACATGAAACAACCCATGGATGATCCTCAAAACACTTTTGTATTTTGTGAATTTCTCTAATTCTCCTTTGCCAAGCCAGAACTTGATAAGGCACCTGAGAATCTTGAACAGTGAATCTTTAATTGTCCCGGCTCAATTCTCCCCTGCTGAGTCCTCTGGTAATTTACAGCTTTTTGAAGAGATGTCAAGGTGGGTATGAAACAGTGACATTTGGTTTAATCTTCTTTTTGATCCAATTTGGTTTCATTTTATCTGGCTGCAGATAGACAGGGTACGTGACAAAAGAGAATCAGAACATTAACACTTTTTTTAACCAGCCTAGTCACAGGATTATCCAATTTGGGGAAAAAAAAATATTATGGGGTATACATACCCCAAATTTGGCAACACCGTCACAGAAAAATGATGAGTGACTGACCTGAGTGTTAGCTTGAAGGAAGACCTTGGAATCAGACTGAATTAGAGCAATATAATCGAGAGCTTACTGGAGGGGAGATATGGCTGGGAGCAGTTTGGCTCTGGCTGGGTCCACACTGCAAACTTTAGACTCTGTGACCTTTTGTTGGGGATCTGCCCAACAATTTATGGCACTGAGAACAAAATGAGGTGCAGGAAGAGACAGTAGGCCAGCTTTTAAACTGACTAGGCTAGAAAAGATGGTTGGACTGCAGAAAGAATAGTACATTGGCACAAAATTCTCTGGATTTGAACAGGAGGAGATGACAGGTACAGGAGTCTGCATAATGCGTGCTTGGGGGGGTGTGCGCGTGTGTATGTGCATGCCCAGTTTTGAGGTATTATCATTTTGAGGAAAGGGGCAATATTTTAGTAGGCTTTGGTCCTTCTGGCACTTAATTCAATCTGAAATTGCCTTTTAGACATCCTTTTTGCCCGAGAGTTGAGATTTCCAATTTATCTTATTTAGTTTATGTAAATTACGAACATTACTTTTAAGACACATACATTGATGTTTACGAGAGCGCCAAGATTTTTCTCTCATAAACCAACCAAAAATGTCTTATATAAATTCTGTGCTGTAGATTGGCTATTACAATTGCAAGATCAAAATTATTCTTGGAGGTGATAGCTAACACAGCAGCCAAAGAGCTTTTTCTGTTCTGTTTTTTTTCCTTACCAATTATAATACTTAATAGAGGAAGTCAACGCGTTCCTACCACTGCAGAAAATGGATTACTGCAAAAATTCACAGCTTTGGTATGTTTGGGGACTTGAGCTTAGAAGCATGAGTTCTTGTAGGGTTTTTTTGAGCTTTTTGTTTTTTAATTTAAATAAAACTCTTCAAACTCCTACAATACCATGTAATTGTAAAATAGAATCTGATCCTGCAGAATGTTCCAGATGGAATTCATTTCATCTAAGTTTAGCTGTCCAGTGAGTCATCTACACTCACAGAAATATAGGTGGGTGGTTCATTTCGTAAGATAGGTGTCTAGGATAAACAAGATGGATTAGATTCTGGAGGTGCACTGGGGTGTATCTAACCTTTACAGGTTTCTCTCCAGGGGAAGCCAGAGGATGGAGGGGGAAATTCCCAAATTTTAGTGAGGATATGGCTGCGCCCAGTGCCCAGCCCTGATACCGTGAAGATCTTGTGGGTTCTATGATTTAAGTACAGCTGCTGTGTTTTCATTATATATAGATGGAACATAAATATAGTCCACTGAGAGACTAAATGTCTGAATGCTGAATCTGGCTGTGATGACCGTGTTTTGCTGCTGGATGTAACCAATGTTTTCTTCTAATTCCTTCCTTACTCTCGTGGTTCTTATCTTGCAGTTTATTGCATGTTTCTAGTCCAATGCAGAGAAGCTTCATGTGAAGAGGTATGGGGTCTTCTGGGTGAATGATCGTGCTTGCTTAGCCTCATCCTGTATGAAGGGAGCATGTGTACATTTATGTCTGCCCAATCCATGTGCTGTATATGCTGTATTTATGTGTGTGTGTGTAGGGGCAAGTAAATGTATCCTTGGCGGAGGACAGAGATATTGGGCCATGATTCTGTTGGCTCCAAGCATACCTTCAAGGAAAGAGAAATATGAAAGCTTTACAAGTCTGCATTTGAATCGGAGTGATTGCTGGGGTTAAGTGTGGGAAAGCCAAAAATATCCACTTGCAGGGGGACAAATATCTGCAACTTTGACAGCATGCTCAGGGGAGTCTAAATAATAGAAACTGAATGGCCAAGAGCTTTGGCTAAGCCTGTAGGGA